TTTTTTTTCTTTCGATGAGAGAGAGAAGATTGGAGTTTGTATTACCACGGATCGTTGGCTATTATTTGCCAACATGAGTCTTTTCGAAAGTTTTGTAAACACATTTCGAAAAAAGGAAAAAAGAGAAACAAAAATTAAAAACACTAATTATGTTATCAAACGCATAATTTTTGAAATTTTTGTAAACACGATTTAGAAAAGAGGAAAGGATAAAGAATTATTAAACATGATTACGTTATTACGCATAATTTCGTAAATTTGTACAAATCTTTCTGCAATATATTTTAGGTTCGATATTTGAAAATAAACTTACCATTTTAAATAATTTATATATAAAGAGAGAACATATTTACCATAAATAGTAACAAAAAAGTCAACCAGCATTTATTGTATTTATTTTTTATATATTTTTTAATTTTTTTTAAAATTATTCTCAAAAAATCGATCAGCTACTTTTTAATCCTAAATACATGGGTTTTATTGATTTAATATAGGTAAATTTCGACTTATGTTTATAATTTTGTAAAAATCAAAATTTTTTCTCATTTTTTATATATAAAAAAAATGATTACCATAAATCAATAATTTCGAATTAGGTCAAATACTATCATGTATATATTTTCCTAATCGCAACGCATCAGTTGTTTATAAAAAAAATTGGATTGCATAGAAACCGAGTTAATTGAGGTAAAATTCGGCATGACAATTCTGTAAAAGCCAAAATTTTCTCATATTTTATTAAAAAATTGTTTACCATAAAATCAAGAATTTCGAATTAGGCAAAATTTTATAACATGTGTTTTTACCTAATTGCAACATATTATGTTTATTAGAAAAATCGGATTGTATAGAAATCGGACTCAATTTGAAATTTGATGCAGCATAAGCATGTACATGAATGATTACAGATGAATGTTCCCAGAGAACGAAGAACACAAATAACAATTTCAATATTCTTATAAAAATTGTCGTTCACCACACGTTCATACGGTTATTAATAATACGTCTCCTAAACACATAAAATTAAAAGCTCATAATAATACACGCCCAACACACAACATAAATAAATACAAACAAGCCCAATACACAACGTAAATAATATCACATTAAAGACTAAAGTCGATCATGTTTGTCGAGAAACGCCTCGTCGGCATCAAAATTGAAAATCGAAAATTAAAAATTTCTTGTTTTTTTTTTTTCCCAAACGGCACTAAAACTCAATAAAACCAAAACAAATGGAATGTACAATACAAAGTCTCCGAATCGCAGCACTTGAGAGGACTAGTACAAATCATACTACCTAGCCGAGACATAAATAACACAATAATATTTCCAACCGAAACTAACCCCTTGGCAATACACTGATCATAACAGAGAACAGAGCAAATAAAACATAAGGAAACAAAAATAGAATACACCACTGACACTAGACCTAGTGCATTTTCTTCTTGCTTTCCTCTTAACACCGGTTGCAATCCTTGAACTCCATCCATTGCAGCATAGCAGACTTCAGGATCCAAGTTTCATTTTGCCAACTATTCTCAAACACCCAAAGGTTCTTGGCTCGCCATAGTCACCACAATATATAGGTCGACAGCTCGATCCATCCTCATGAATTTCCAGCTTCTTCATGGAGCTTAACCACCACCACCATTCTTTGAACTTCAGTCTGCCTTGATCCACTCCAATCCATTGAACTGGTGCCAACCTCTATGTTCTTTGTGCTCGACTGCAAAGAAACAAAGCATGCTCCATAGACTCCTCAGCTTCTCCACACACATTGCAAATAATGTCCACCTACATGCCCCTGCAGTTTAAGTTCAAATTCACAGGCAAAATATTAGAAAAACACTTCCAGATGAAGTGTTCAATTTTTCCCTGAACCTTCAACTTCCAAAATCTGAGCCTCCATCTTGCTGCATTCTGCCTTCATCCCCAAATAGCTCTTCTCATTTACCAGAATAGCATACCCAGTCTTGACAGAGAAAGAACCTTTGTTAGTGAAGGAGCACTTCCATTGGCCAGTTGCTCTAGGGTTTAGAGAGTTAATCTGCAGAATTTTAGCTGTTGTATCCTCATCAAGAAGAATCTTAACCAAAACTTCATCCCACTCACACCCGCCAGCCAACAGTAGATCATTGACATTGAAAATATGTCCATCCACTTGAACTCTCAGCTTACGCTTACCACCTCTGATACCAGGTACCCAATTGCAGTCACTGAGTTTTGTGTTAATCCCATTTCTAATAATGATGCTAGCATGAGCCTGTAGAGCTGGAATGAAAGTAACCCAAGAATTCCATAACCAAGATGCACCATTGGATTTCTGTCATCAAATAAAGAGTGAAATGAGAAGTACTTGTTTTTCAGAACCTTACACACCAACAGGTCATGATGGTGAATGATTCTCCATAGCTGTTTTAGGATTAAGGCTTTATTGAACAACCTGATGTCTTGAGACCAAGCCCACCCTCCTGTTTAGGGATAGTAAGCTTATCCCAGGCAAGCCAATGCATCCCTTTGTCCTGAACATCCCCCTTACTCCACCAAAATCTAGCAATCATCCTGCTAATCTCATGACATAACCTCTGAGGTAACACAAAACAAGACATCACAAAAATCGGTAAAGCATTCAAAACAGATTTCACCAAGACCTCTCT